GTCTTGAAAGTTTTCATTTAAAATTATAAGGCATCTGAATTTTTTTAACATAAATTTGCCCTAAAAATTTAAAAATATAATAATGTTGTTTTCTACTGTTAAAAATATTAGCAGTCAATGTCATTATTTTAATAGCTAATACTATTTTTTAATGATGGGGGGCAATATTGCTACGATATTAAACTTATGGGGCAAATTTGCACTAAAAAAAAGTTTCAGCACTTTTAAGTAAAAAATTTTGGGGTAAATTTGCACATTAACCCCTGTATACATTGATGTCTTTTTTTTTTTATTAAAAAAAAGCATGCAAAAGTTTTAAAATTGATTTGAAGTGCATGAACTATGAAGTTTTAAGAAAATTCCCCTTTCCAATTCTATGTTTCTGCATTGGGCCTGGTTTATTTTTCAGGTCCAATGTTTTCACGTCCAATTGTCTGCACTGTTAAGCATTTAAGAACCCAAAGATTAAATTAATTTAATATTAATGAGATAAAAAACTAGAGAATACCAAAATAAGGACTAAAGATATTTTCAATGGCTTGACACACTATTCCTTTATTTGCGACATTGTAAATTTGTAATCACTAATTTTCAAGTGAGATTTGTTTGTTTATGAAGGAAAAGAAAGTATTTAACTTGTTAAAGATAACATTACCTTTCATGGTTTGGTACTTCAATTTTCTTCTTATTAGCAATTTTGAGACTACTAATTTAAGATGAGATTCATCTATTTTTTTAAAAGATAATTTTCATAACTTCTTATAGTTTAATATTGATCTATCTAATAAGAAAAAGGAGACAATTCAAATTGTCAAATATATATATTTTTGTATAATTTAGAATATTTTTTAGTCATGTTGGACTTGAGACTAATTTCTATCAAGCTGAGAGCGTAAAAGTTAAAACTCTCCCAACAAGTATGCTTCTTGGAATTTGAATTTGTGTAATACTTTTATTTCCTAATTCACAATTTTTTTCTTAAACGTGATTAATTTAATCTTTTAATCTTTAAATGCTATTCTTCCTTTAAAAATGATGTTTACTGTCTGCTAAAAAAACACAAGACAAAAAGTCATGTTCTAATTCTAATGTTTTGTTTAATTGTTAATAAAAAATTATATAATTTGTGTTTCTAAAAAAACAATAGTATACAATTATTCTGCATCTTTAAAATTATTTTCGATGTTCATCTTTAGTAATTCACATTATCCCTTGTGCATTCTTTTTCAGGCTGACGTGGCCTCTCTGCATGAAGCCATGAAAACAGCCTTAGAAATAATGGAGAGCATTGATCCACTCATAAGAAAATATCAATCTCAGGTTTTCCCCCTTTAATATTTAATTTTTTTATTACACCTTTTAATATTTATTTTGATGTTTAAGTATCCTTAACAGCTTAATCAATACTCAATTTTGTCCCAAAAAGAGAAAAGAAAAGAAAAGAAAAGAAAAGAATCAATACTCAATTATTTATAGGATAATATTTTTAAAATTACATATACTCATTATTTGGTTTTTGAATTTTAGAAATAGGTGACCGAATTATTGGGAAAAAATGTCTGAACTGGTAAATTTTGAAGTATTGAAAAATACATTATTTGGAGGATTATCGAATAAGGATAGCCTGATGTATTACCCTTAAAGTCTTTGACAAGTAACATGGTCATGCTATTTTTTTAAAAAAAATTTATATAATCAGTAGTTTTTAAATTAACATAAATTTTCAAGTTTCTTTCTTTTTGTCTGGCAAAAAAGTAGTGTTTTTTTTAAAATTTATATAATTAATAGTTTTTAAATTAACAAACAATGTTGATGGACTTTAGTTGAAGAATTAGTTTTTCACAATATGACAAACTAAAATTTAAATTTTTATTGAGAGAGGTATTTATTTTGGTACCAGACAGTATTTTGAACAAATGTGTTTAAGAAAAAATAGTTTCTAAATTAACAGAATTTTTCAAGTTTTTTATATTTATTATAAAAAGGAAATAAATTAATGGGATATTAAGATTTAAGTTATTCTCGCAGTCCGACCCAAAAAGTTTGAGAAAATAAAATTAATTATCAATATATTTTTTTAATTATAATATAATGATTAGAAAGATAATGTGATTAATAATATTATTAGATAAGAGTGCGATTATTAATTAATAATAATATTGTGTGGCAGGTTGATAGAATTCTTTATCAAGTAACAGAACTCAGCACCATATCGAAACAAGAAGAGGAGCACTTTCAGGAACTTTTGAGAATTATGCCCATCATTTATACTTCAAAGGTAAGCAATGGGAAAACATTAAAATTTGATTAAATATACTAGTTTTGGTTCTTAATATAAAGCTAGTTGACTATTTAAGTAGATTAAAAAGTTTATTAAGTTAAATTTTTTCTAGGATATCATTACTAATCATGTGTATTAGTTAAAACTACTACTAGATGGAATTTTTAATATGAGTAACTACTATAAAGCCTACTTTAAAATAGATAAATATGATAGACAAAATAGATGAGAATTTTATATTTCAAGCCAAATTGAATGTCAAACTAACTTTTATATTAAGGATTGGACGTAGTACTTTAATTAATTAGTATGTTTTTCTATACAAATTTTTAATTACTATAGAAAAAATTCTTATTTTTGTTATGAAAGACTAAATTACTCTTAACTGCAAGTAATGTTCTTGGGCTTTCAATTTTGTTTTTCTAACTCTAAGTAGCATCACTGTAATGATTTTGACATGTTAAAATCTGTTAAAATAATATATTTGTCATTTTAAAATTCAATCAGGTATATTTTTGTTATTTTTCCTGTAAAAAAAGAAATGAGAAACAAAAATATATTGATTTTCAATAAAATAAATAAGTCTTGTAATGACTTACGTTAAACCCTGTCAAAATCCCTTAATTTTGAAGCAAATATGAAAGAAAGATACAAATGTTATCTCCTCCTCCTTTTTTTTTTTTTGGTTAGGAAAAGGAGAAAAGCGTGATGGTGCATCTCATCCAAACAAATATGGAGCTGAAACGTATCTGATGAATCATTTTTCTTTTTCTGGCCCAGAAACTTTTTTTTAAAAGTAGTTCTACTTTTCTTTTTGCGTTGATGTTAAATTGGTTAATGTGATTAGTGAATTAGTAAACCGTTTAAATTAAGTTTTAATAATATTTTCAAATTAAATTTTAACTGTTTATTTTTTTTTTAATACCCACTTCTCACTAAGGTGAGGTTTAGAAGCCTCCTCCACCTTAATGGCCCTCAATTAGGCGCGCACATATGTTTTTTTTCCCCTTTTTTGCCAAACATTAATTGGTGAATTGTACTAGTGATTAATTATTGGTCACTCTTACAATGTTTCTTATATCCAAAGAAAATTTATGTCAGTTGAACAAAAAGATTTATGCAATATTAAATTAAATAAATATAGATAGTAAAAAAATTAAAAAATATAATTTATTTATTTATCATTTATTAATGAGCAATTTCTTAAATAATTTATTATCAATACAAAATTGAACAAGAACTGTCCCATCCCTCTATAGGTAAGTATGGTAAAAATAGTTAAATAGACAAGTGAAAGCAAATATAAAATAGGGAAAATTAATCCATGGGTTGGTGTTTTGGACCACCGAATATCTTTTTCTTTTTTTTTCCCCTCCCTATTCTACTCAGTGTTGGTTTCTTGGGTAAACAATATCTATTTTTCCAAATTGCGCTCAGTAATGCTTTTGATGCTGATAGTGGTCTTGTTCGTCCTAAACGGGAGGACTAATAATCCTACCTCCTCTTTTGAATATAAAGAGTTAATTGGTAGATTTGTTTTGATCCTAAGTATAAAATTTAATATATTCTATCTCAAATTTATTTTTAAAAATGTTTTCCTATCAATTGCACATTTAATGGAGTGGTTTTTGTTGAAAATTGTAGAAGCAGAGGAACTTACAAAAATCATTGAACAGTGAGAAATTATAGAGAAGTAAAATAAGAAAAAGGAAACCTATTTGCAGATAGCTACTTTCTTTCAATTTTTAATTCAGTGTCTATAACTTTTTCCATTTTATTAAATCCTTTAAGAATTCCAAGTTAGCACCATTAGTATCTATTGTTTAGGAAATGCATTGAAGGGCCAACTGAAGGATAGATGCAGTTAAAATAGAAAAGGAAGAGGGGAAAAAGGAGGATGTGTACATGATGAAGATGGCGCCATTGATCATGTGCTAGGGTCCATTCCATTGAGTAAGGAGTTTGATCACTCTAAAATACCTCTCCAATTTTTAAGATATGACGTAATTGGGAATTTAATGTTAGTATGATATTTAAGACTTATTTCACATATTTATCAATTTTTTAAAATTAACCCTATTAGTATTTTCCCAACAATAATTAAGTAGGAAGAGAGAATTATTATGTTTTACATTAAGGATCGGAGAAGTAATAAGTATTTTTGTTCCATCTCACAAGAAGAAAGAGGCATTTTGTGCTCTATTCTTTGGTGTTTCATGCTATGTGTGTTTTCTTTTTCTACGTGCGGTGTTGTAGTTTTGAGTTCTTTTTCTCTGTTCTGACTCGTTATTTGCTCTTATATTTTTTTGCTTGTAATTTTTTTAATTTTAGATACAGTTAGGTTTAAATATGGGACGACATAAAGCTTTACAAACAGGGAGTGAGAATGAGAGTTTACATGATGTTTTGTCAATTGAGGATATTTTTTTAAATGTATGGAAAATTAGATTGAGTGTTTGGAGATACTTTTTGAATTTGGCCAAGTTGAAGATAACATGACTTTTTTTGGTAAAAACTAAGCCATGATTTTATAATGATTTTACAGCATACGAAATAAATATGTGAGAAGAGTTATGACCGAAAAATCATTCTTGTCTCATTTTAATTTTAATTTTTAAAAAAGTTTATACTTGTTATGGTCATACTCCTTTGCAGTTAAGGTCATATGCAATTGTGTAAACATCAACCGAAGTCTTAAAGTAATATATACTCACTCTAACTAGTCTAAAACATTACAACTTGATGAAAAATTCCGCCGAAAGTAAAAAAAGAAAAAAGGAAAAAAAAGAAAAGAAGAAATCTCTTCTTCCTATACCCATCCCTCACAATATTAAAAATGTTAAAAAAAAATCCATTTTCAATATCATATTAAATTTCCATCTTTGCCTTTTGAGGCAAGACAATTTCATCATCCTCCCCACTGCCAATATCTTTATCACCACATTGTCCTAACACAATATTATCAAACATTTTCCTCTTTGGCTTGGCTTCTTGAAGCATCATCACAACATCTCTCATCGAAGGCCGATCTGCCGGATTCCGACTAGTACAAAGCAACGCGATTCTAAGTATCTGCTTCATCTCATCTCTTACCGGAGCACACCCAGAACCAACATTCTTATCTAATATGTAATCAACCCCATTTTTAGCCTTGATCTTAGAGTTAACCCAGTCCACAATACTATTACCATCGCCAAACTCAGCATCGACAGATCTTCTCCCACACAAAATCTCCATCAGCATCACTCCATAGCTGTAAATATCACTCTTCTCATCAACCTGTAGGGTGTATGCGTATTCTGCAGAAGAAGTTAAACAAACAAAATGGCATTAGTGAATTAGAATAGAATGAGATACAAGTTGGCATTTACCACAATGGACTAAGTTAGGAGAAAGTCAACATCCTCATGATTCCAAAGTGGATGTGTGAATTGACAAGGCTATTGTTGGTGGGTCCCTTTGAATTTGTGAAGAACTTGGGCAAAAGCTACAGGTTTGTGAAAGTGAAAAGTGAAAGGAAAAAGAAAGGCTATATATATATATATGTGCGCGCGCGCGGCGCGTTCATGCGCAATAATACAACTATTCATGCACAAACAAAAGGAGCTTATGAGAAAAAGTCACTGTGGCTAGAGATAGAGCTACACCAACCACAAACCACAGCACCTTAAAAATGGCAGTCACGCCTAGAATTTTTAAATCTGTTTTTATGCTGAACGTGTCCAGTGTTCACATTGTGCTCTATACCCAGCTAGCTCGGTCACCATCAAAACATGCTTTTGTGTGCATGTGAAAGTGAGTGAGTAGTAAGTTATCTGATATTGCCTGGTCAGTATTATAGTACATATCTAACCACTTTATAAGAACTAATGAAAAATGGTTAGGTGATTACATTTGTTTGAAAATAAAAAGAAATTATGAATTTACCCATATTTAAAACCATGAATTACATCTTGTGAAACAACAACAAAAATAAAATAAAATAACGTCAAACTTATCTAGAGGTCATCTTAAGAAAAATATAATTAATGCTCTACTTAATGACTAATTATAAAGACTATACATTTTTTAGAAAGTTCTTATTATAATAGGGAAAAAGTAATATCTCCCATATTTTTGTGTTTTTGTCTTCATATGACAAAATGAACCACACACTTACAGTCTACAGTGTCAAAAGGCCAGTTGCAAAGAACACAATTAAAAATAATAACAAAAAGGGTAGCTGAAACCAATTCTTTTTTATTTTAAATTTAAATATTTCACGTGGTAAAGATAGGCAAATGCCAAAACTAGAACTTGCTATATTAATGCCTCATATAATGATGATGATAAGTATGTATCTATAATTCTTGGGTCATTTCCTCGAAAACCTAGCTATTTCTTTATGTTCCTTTTCCCCCCCTAAATTCTGTAATACAAGTCCTTTTGCTTTCAAATCCACTTTTCTCCCAATTTAAAAAATTTTATTTTGTGCCGTCAAGTTTGAAGTTATAAATGAAATAATACAAACCGCCCGTTTCATTTCATCATTAGCTATAGATCTTCCAAGCCCCACAAGAAGACCTTGTTTTGAAATAGTTATATTATATATATATATATATATATATATATATGAAGTGTCGTGCAAATCATATACAAGTCATTGGATTCTTTTTCACATCTCTTGTATGGTAATTGGGGGGGGTGTTTGCATTTTTCACTTAGAAAGTGTAAATTTAATTTAAAAAATTATTTTTTATTTTAAGAGGAACATAATATGAATAAATTTACCAACTAACACTTGAAAAATAAATATTTAAATTAAAAAATAAAAATAAATATTTATATCTAAGTCTTACCAGGAGCAATGTAGCCATATGATCCAGCAATGACAGACATGGATTCATCACTCTCAATCAACTTGGCCACTCCAAAATCCGCCACTCTAGCTTCCATCCCAGCATCCAACAAAATATTACTCGGTTTAAGATCTCGATGCACGATCACTGGGTTACAATCGTGATGAAGATAACAGATCCCTTGTGCCACCCCCAGTGCTATGTTATACCTTGTCAACCAATCACCAACCACATTCTTGCCATGCAATAAGTCTTCTAAATTCCCATTGGGCATATACTCATAGAGCAGCATGGTGTTCTCCTTGTTGCTGCAACACCCTAATAATCTCACTATGTTCCTGTGCCTCACGTTCCCTAGCACTTCCACTTCGGCTAGCACCCCTCTCCTCCGTCGGATGCTATTAGAGGTCTCCTTTTGTTGACCCCATAGCTTTTTAACGGCTACGATATCGCCACTTGGCATCTCCACTTTGAACACTGTTCCAGTGGATCCCATTCCTATGATTTTGTTCGAGGCTGTCATGCACTCTACAATGTCATCTGCTGTAAAATTCAACCGTTGGAACGCGGTTAATTTCCACGGTCCGATTTCGCTGGTGTTCATGAACGGACGGCCGTGATGAGATCGGAAGCATCGGGTTCCGGCGACTAGCGCGAACAATGCAACTGCCACCGCCGCTGCAACGATCCACATAACTGCGCCGGTGGTTCTCTTCGGATGGTAATTTTGTTCCTCCGTTGCAGGAGAGCGAGTGTCCATAGCGCAGGGCTTTGCGAGGAGGCCGCCACAGAGGCCATCGTTGCCGGAGAAGGAGGAGGGATTTAGGTTCGCGAAGATTGAACCGGCGGAAGGAATCGGTCCGGTGAGGGAATTGAAAGAGACGTTGAAGTTCTCGAGGGTAGTGCAGTTGTTGAAACCGGAGGGTATGGTGCCGGACAGAAAATTGTGCGACAGGTCAACGTCAGTGATTGAGGGTAAAACGGAGATTTCCCAAGGGATGATACCAGAAAGCGAGTTACGACTCAGATTCAACACAATAAGCCTCTCGCAGTTCTCAATGCTCCATGGAATGCTCCCGTTGATAAAATTCCCCTGCAATTCGATTCTGTAAATGTTCTTGCAACCTACGAAGTCTGGAATCTGACCGTTAATTTTCGATGAACTCGCCGAGAAAACCAGTAAATTCCTAGCGTTCCAAATATTGCTTGGAAGTTGATTTTCGAATGAATTTCCAGAGAGATTCAAGTGTTGCAATGTTGGAGCATCTCCGAAATCTTCTGGAATTCGACCCGTGAAGTTGTTGTTGCTCATATCGGCGAAGGCGAGATTGGGAAGAAGGCCAAAACCACCAGGGATGGATCCATTGAGCCGATTATTTTGGATTCGAAGCCTTACCAGTGAAGTGCAATTAGTGAGTGATTCTGGAAAAGCTCCTTCAAATTCGTTATCAAAGAGAATGAGCTTGATAAGCTTGCTTCCATTGCAAACATTTGGTGGGATTAAACCTGAGAGTGAATTCGTGGAAACGTCAAATTTATAGAGTAATCCATTGGAGCCAAGGGTTTGTGGGAGAATCCCAGAAAGCGAATTGTTCCATAGAAGCAGAGTATCGAGTTTTGGAAGATCTCCGATCCCTTGTGGTATCTCTCCTGTTAACTTGTTGTTCATCAAGCTCAAAATGGTTAGTTCCTTCAACATTGAAATTTCCTCAGGAATTGGCCCACTGAGTTTATTATCTGACAAATCAAGTGCATTGAGACTTTTCAAATTGCCCACGCTTGATGGGATCTCACCCACTAACCGATTCTTGTACAGCAACAATGTCTCCAGCATAGTCATGTTTCCCAAATCATGAATCAGAGAGCCAGAAATATTAGAAGAAGCAATATCCAAGTACTTCAGACTTGATAATAAAGCAAATTCTTCAGGTAATCCTCCAGAAAACTGGTTGTACCCAATTTCAAGACGTTCCAATTCTGATAAGAACCCTAACTGAAATGGTATTGGACCTTCCAAGAGATTCCCAGCAAGATAAAGGAACTTCAATCTTGGTAAATTCCCATAACCTGAAGGAATTGTACCGTTAAAGTAGCTCCCACCAAGATTCAACTTCTCAAGAAACCGAAGCCTCATGAATTCTGAAGGCAGAGGACCAACAAAGTTATTGCTATAAGCATTGAACACTCTCAAGAACTTGAGCCTCGAAATCCCAGGTGGGAAAGTTGAATTGAAGAAGTTGTGATTGATATCCAGAGTTCTGAGCTCAGCAAGTTCAAAAATCACAGGTGGGAAAATCCCAGTGAAGCTATTCCAGCTAAGATTCAAGTGGTTCAAGGTAGTCAAGTAACGGATTTGAGGAGAAATGGAACCAGAGAGATTACGCTGAGAAAGGTCAATGGTGATGATCTGAGAAGTCCGTGCGTGGCACGTGATACCTGACCACGAACACCAAATAGGTGGTAGGTCTTGGGAATTGTTAGAGGAAGCAGAATAGTTCCAGTCATGGAGAGTATTGTGAGGGTCAATGAGGGAAGACTTTAGAGAAAGCAAAGAGATGATGGCAGATGGTGTAGCAGAGTAAACCAGAAGCTGTATCTGACAGAAGAAAAAGAAGAAGAAGAATGTGAGAGGGAAAAGAGGAGAAGAAGGGTGTCTCATGGCAGCTAGTGTTGAAGAAGAAGAAGAAGAAGAAGAGGGTTTGAGGATGAGGATGAAGAGGAAGGTGGCGTTTGGAGAGGCAGATTTAAAAGGAGAAAGGAGGAATTGAATTGATGATGATGATGAGGAAGAAGAAGAGAAGTGCTTTTTGAGTGTGCTGCTGGTAGCAGAGGAGTTTCATGATGACGAGTTTGCTTCAGTGCGTTTTGTTGTTGGTGGACATGAATGAGTGAAACACACAGAATCACAAGGCCTCTCTTCTAGCTCCTATTTCTACAACCACTCTTCCATATATTACATGCATACCTAAAAATTTAATTTAACTTTTTTCTTAAAGTTAATTTAGCTTACATATTATGTTTTCTTTTTTATATAAATAAAATATTTTCCTGGGAAAAAATATTTTGTCATTAATGTCTGAATATACTCTCTTCAATCCTGGCTCTTATAAGCCACCAAGTGAGGTATTAATTATATTTTTAATATTTTTCTAATTAAAATTTAATGTAATTTTATTTTTTTTGGCTTCTCAAAATATAATTTATAGATTTAAATATGGGTAAATTTCAAAAAAAAAAAATTTCAAATGAAATTTGACTTAAGGAAGTAAGTTTCTTTTTTATCTTTTCCTTAATTAAATAGAATTTATCATTGTTAGGTAAAGATTGGAAGTATGAGTACATTTAAATGAAGTTGAGATTAGTTGGAAGGATAATATTATAAACATCTTAGTGATTCGTTATCTGAACTATAAAAGAAAAATGTTAGCAGCAATAGGTAAAAACTAAATAGTTTACCAACTAATGAGGCATATTATGTTGTTACCAAAGAAACTAACTCATAATATTCTGAGTACATTATTCTTTTTACTTTTTCCCTTAAAATAATTAAATTATCAATTCAGTCCTATATTTTTTTTTTTGTAATTTTTGTGTCCTCTCTAAAATTTAAGAGAGAATTACAATGAGGTCTCAAAAAAAAAAATTACAAAAGAAGTATCAGAAGTTATTATTTCTTACTCTAGAACATGTCATTACATGTTACTTACATTGTTATTAAAACTTTTTAGTAATTATTTTTTCTTCCTTAAGATCTCATTGTAATTCTTTCAAAATTTAACTCTCAGTTTGATCTTTCCGTGAGTATTCTTTTTAAACTTTTTTCCTTTTATTTATATTTGTCCATCTAATAATAATAAAGTTGAAAGAATCAAATATCTCAAGCTGGAATCTAAAAAATTGAAAATAACTGGAAAACTAAAACTTGGGGATTAATTAAAATTAAAATTCAAAAGAATACACAAATTTAAATAATTATTTATAAAATTGTTCTCATTCCACTTTTCCTTTGTCATACATAGAATTACACCTATGGCCGGCATTGCAATGCATACACTTTTTTTTTCTTTCAATTTTCTGGGAATTCTTTTCTGCTTTTCTTTTGGTCCCACTTTTCATCATTCCCTTGTCCTTTATGTGACACTAGAGTATATAAATATAAATATATATATTTATATTTATATATAACACATATATGTGTAACCACTAGCCAGTGACAAGGTGGGTCTCGGAGGATCCAAGAAAGTTATATCCAAATTCCACCAAACCATAACTTCAGTTCCTTTTCCTATATTTTTCCCCCTTATTTAATAAGTTCATAAATCCATACAAGTAGCTCTTTATTCTTTGTGTATTTTTTTAAAAATTTTGAATTATTTTATTCATTTATTTATTTTAGTGTTGCTGACTTGTTGGCTGATGTTTGATGATATTGCTGGGTTGTTTGATATTATCGAACCTAAATAGATATCAATTATTAAAAATTATTTTAAGTAGATTTTGACCGATTAATTTATGGCATAACTCAAAGTTTGAGGGGTTATATGCATAAAATTAATGGTAATATGAGATTATTCGCATACGCGGTTAAAATTTTAGGGGGTTATTATTTCATCTTAAGGGGTTGAGAAGATTATTTGTACATAATTCTAAGTCTAGGGAAGTTTAATGTAATTTAACATTATTTTAAATAGATTTAGATTGTTTTGATTAGTTCTTTAATCTATGAGTGTAAAATATATATGATTTCTAAATTAAATTTCAACCATCTAACTAACGTTGGACAGCTTAAAACTTTAGATTTATTATTTCATTAATAATGATAAAAAGTATACTAAAGAAATTTGAACCGTTATATTAACATAACAGTCGAATTGCATTTAAAAAAGATGAAAAATTTTCTTCCATTATGAGACAGAATCCAACGTTTTCCTTTTCATTTTATCTTTCCCTTTTTGGTATTTTAGGAATATATAATAAATATATATATATATGAAAAGTATAAAAATCTAATATTTTGCACTAAGTGAGATGCATATAATATGATAAATATATTTATATCTGCTTTTGCACGCATTAATTTGAGGCACAAGAAGGAAGAATGATTATTTTTTTCAGTTAACATTTTTTCCAGTCTTAACTGAAAAATATCTCAAACCTTCCCTGACTATGAAGTTATCCGATTTTTTTCCATCCTATGATCGCTTTCAACAAACTTGGTAATTTTGCAAGTCAAGCAATAGAAATAGAGAATCATCAAACAGATTATGGATAAAAAATACATAAAATTCATAATAAATTTTTAGTAAATAATAATACATGATGTGAAATATAAAAGAGATATAAAAATATATCATATTTATTTATTATGGTAGAATTCATTTATGACATGATTACATGCATTAGCTATTAGCTTAAAAATTAAATTTTTACCAAATTACATATGACATGCAACAAAAACGTTTGGTTGAAACTTACTAAGCTTGATATATGAAAACAGACATTAATCCAAAATTAATTGTTACTAAATTTGGGGAGAAAGATAAAAAGGAAATTATTGCGAGTCCCAAAAAAATATAATAATCAAAAAGTCCCAATAACAAGTAAGCAATATGAATCTTATTATCATTTCATACATTAAAAATTATCATTCACTTGTTATGAAACTTTTTGATAATTTCATTTTTTTTCTTCGAACTACATAGTGATTTTTTATGTTAGGATCACTAAAATCTGAAAATCTCAAAATGTCTCTCGATATTGGCTTAATTCCTATAAAATCTTGGGGAACCACTACCTTAAATCTTTAATATAAGAGCTAATAGGCTAATCTGGGTAAATTAAAAGAATTAGTTAGATTACTTATTTGTAATAAATAAGTATTATCTTTCCTAAAATATCCTTACTAATAATGTATATTAGTTAGAATTACCATTTGATAAAACTTTTAATATGTACCGCTAGTACTATTACAAAAACTACTTTACAAAAAATAGATAAATATAAAAGACAAAATAGATTAAAGTATTATATTTAAAACCAAATTGAATATCAAACTCGCTTCTATATTAAGAACCGAAAGTAGTATTATGAACTTAAATTTTTTGCTAAGTGAGTCGATTCCCTCATTAAAATAAGCTGTCATCGTCTTTGTTGTTGTTGTCATTTGATATGTTAAAATCATCACCTATTCAACCATGTCCTTTTTTTTCCTTTCATTTTTAAGATTCCTAACTAAAGGCATTTTGGTAATTTTGATGATCCTTATATGCCTTTCTCCCTAAATTTATTTTAATTTTTTTTTAAATTTAACTTGACTTCATTGAAGCAATAATAGTAGGATGTAGGTGCATATTTAGTTAGGATGATGTAGCGTTATAATATGAAGAAAAAAAAGCAAAAAAACACAATGATCCTTTGTTAAAAGCATGTAGCATGCATGTGTCTGTGCATGCCGCCACCCGACATCTTTTCTTCCTCCATAATATTTGTCTCTTTAATTTTAATTTTTTTTGCTGCATAATTAATTATATGATATAATATTTAAATAAATATAAACGTAATCCACAATAAGTCATGATGTTTAATAACTTGAGACATCTATACTAATCATACAGATGAGAATGATGAGCAGAGAAGTAGTGTTCATAATACATATATAATCTCATTTACTTAGTGAAAATACTTATTTAAAAAAGATCATTAGGGAATAAATAAAGCTCCCTATGGATCAACAATATGATTGAGAAAATAATGGACATGGAATCAATATGTTTTAGGTCATGCTCGCTTGGAGTGGAAAGATTTTGATTGATATTGCGTCATGCCATGTTTTGATAATAATTATTTTTTTTCCGATATGAGTACTCTCAATTATTCGATTCTAATAATTGTGCTCAGGTATCAGGGAAGGCCTGTCTGACAATTTTTTTTTTTAAAAAAAGAATTATCCATTTATCACTGGCTTGCTCATCAATGTATCAATCAATTAATATATGTGTCTGTGTCTATCAATATAATACTACTGCTCTAAGTCCTCATATAAAAAGTTGCAATGTTATAAAATATAAGACATTCAGGTATCAAATGTAGGTACTTCAACAGCAATTTGAATATTGATTCACTATGTTGTAACCTTTCTAACTAGATTCAGGCCTATTGATTTTCAGAACTTCGTCCTATATGCTCATGTCTATCTAAATTAATATTGATCGGATGACAATTTTTGTTCATTTAATTGATTTAGTTATTTATATATATAGGCAGTATATTATTGTTCTACTTTTGGCTGTATTAAAATGTACTTTTTTTTAATATCATTTATGCATGAAGATTCAAGTGAGAATATTCTAATCATGGTCATAGAACCTAGGCATATGGACCAATGATATATTCTTAAATATATATACCATCGTCTGCATGCATGTCTGCATCATGATTCCACTACTGAAAGACATTCCTCACATATCCTCATTTAAAAATTGAACAATTATTATAATGGAATAAAATCAATTTCAATGATTGAAACTAATTAAATCGGATTCTTGAAGCATTTGTGTTAAATTAAATCGGATTCTTTGAAGTATTTGTGTTATCTATAAACATACACACACCTTTATATATTATATTATATTCCTCCAGTCCTAAATATAAAAATCTTTTTGTAGTGTAAGTTACACGATAAAAGGGGTCTTATATTTAGGACCAGAGGAGTACTATTTAAAAAAAATCTTGAATAATACCAACATGCATTGCTTCTAGTGAAAGGGGTTTTAGCTACTTAAGTATAAGATCTTGAATTTAAGTTCATGTAAATACCAAAAAAAAAAAGCCTTT